TTATGGAATATTACGTTAAAATGAAATGGTTCCTTATGTAACCTGTATGTTACACTAAAAGGCTTCATCGAATACTTGTAAAGTAATGAGCAAATACTAAGTTAATATCTTGTGTGAATGAATATTATCTTACAGAATTTTTATTCCATAAAAATCTATCTAAAAATATAATTTTGTTGAATGAAGATTTAAACATTTTTCCCGAAGATTTAAAAAGTCGTTTGAAATAATGATAACAAAAACATTAATCTGAACCATTTAATAAATGAATAGAAAATTTTGAGAACAATTAAATCATCCACAGGAATTTTGAAATAATCATCGTATTTTTGACATCAGTTAAAGAAAGAAATCTGAGTCATTTTGATTATAGTGATAAATTAGTTCCATTAATAGTAGGATAGAAAATTAAAATTTTCAGAAGCCATTATGCATTATCAATTTTTCATTAAAAAATTTTTAGTTTATTACTACTATCATATCAATTATTAATGCTGAATTCTTTATCTTCAGTTTTTACATTCTTTTCTTAATTTTCTAGGCATAGAGAAGAAAAATATAATTATAGGATCAAGGCATTTCCAAATACATTATATTTTCTTCCTTAAATTTTTAAGATCATTCTATATTCATCATGTATTATAGACACAGTATCAGGGGATTCTGTTCAATTTTTCAGTTAGAATTTGGGACGAAGTTTGTGAAGTCATACCTACATTAATGCTTGAATTGATTATTTGAAATATGACAAAGCAAGAGAGGGCCATCTGTCCAAGGAAAGGAATATTTTAAGGAAAACTTCATGTTACACAAACATTTACACAGGCAGCCCATTCTCTAGGATTTAAATCTAGAGCCAAATGCTAGTGTTCAGCTTACTGTCTGGCTGCCTGTAGGCAATAAATGTTTTAGTAGAAGGAATACTTGAAAAATTAAATTTAGGACTAACTAATTCTTCAATTTTGTATTCAATGAGAAGAATGTAATTTATTAATAAAGTTTTAAATCTGGGAAAATACCTGTACAACTGTCCGATTAATTAATCTATTATTTCAATTAATGGTCAGTAGCAGAAGAGATTAAAAAGCATTTATGCCTAAAAGAATTATATGTTGTAATTAAAATGAATAATGCAATTAAGCATGAAAATAATTTTGGATAACTTGTGATAACTGAATTTAAGTTCATTGTTGAGTTACATAAGTAATTTTTTTTAGAATTTGAAAAAATATTTAGAATTGTTTATTGAAACAATTTCATTAAAATATTTTTTTACTGTAATCATATCCAATTGCAGTCTCTTTAGATTACACTGTTGGGTATAAGGAGAATGATTTGGTTTAGTTTACTTAAGTATGGCAAAGCACACTAGGACTATCTGCCTAAGTGGAGAAATGCCTTTGTGGAGGACTTTCGAAGGGAAACTGACTTATATACATGTTACACATGGAGAAAACCATGAAAATACCCATACAACCAGCCCATTCGCGGGATTTGAACCTCGGACCGAACTACCAGTGTTCAGCGGGGGGGGGGAATTCTAGAACATTACTAATTTATTGCCACAAAAACCATTAAGTCTAATACACAAGTTTTTTTTCCAGCTATTTCGTGATGCATATGTAACTTTGAGATTGTCTTAAAATTCAATAAAGGAAAGTAATGCAGATGTAAGAAAAACATAAAATTTGAGCTTCTTTTTAACATTGGAAAATTTTGAAAGAAAATGTTGTATATCTTTTAGAAAATCTAAGGTATATTTTCCTTAAAAAAAAAACTTAATATTTAAAGTTACATAACTTCCCTTTCCCCACAAATAAATAAATGCAGCATATTTTGTTACAAGCAGTAGCTGTAGACATTCACATAAAACATATGTTCTACATGTGTAATTATTTATAGTAATATTACAATCAAAATATTTAATATTTAGGAATACATCATTTTTGTATTTTGTATAAGACAAATATGTTCTATATGCATAATTATTTGGAAGAACTTTTAAGTAAATTATCTGCAACTTTTACATATATATCCTTTAAAATTTCACATGAAAATACATGTTCTTACATAATCACTTGCAATAACCTTACAAGCAGAACACTAGTAATCTACAAATATTCCCTTTAGTAATTCACATTCAAAAATTACGATCTACTTACACTATTATTTCCTGTAATCTTTACAGATGTTTACATGGTAAATCACATATGAAAAACATGTTATACTTACACGATAATTTCCTGTAACATTACAGATCAAAGATCTCTAACCTTTACAGGCATATGCTTCGGTAATCAACGTACAAAAACTTTGTTAGCCTACAGAATAACTTCCTGTAACATACATGTGAAACATCTGTAACCATTACAGGTATATCTCTGTAAAGTTACTAGAAAATTCCTGTTTTGATTACTCAATAATCCATGGCATCCAGTTTCCACGACTTTTCTTAGTAACTTTACAGATTTTTTTTACAGTGTTCATGGTGCGTTATTCACTTAATGATAATAAATTTAATGATAATAAAAATAATATAAAGTTGAATACTATAGAAATCTTTGCAACACCGAGTATTTTTAACAAATACGCAGTTAAAATGTATTCGCGGGCCGCATTACTTTGCTTCAGTGGCCGCATTAGGACATTTGGATGTCTTGATACGCACTTTTTTTCTTACACTGGATTGGTAGCATGGTTTAATTGTTTTTTCCCTGTGTTATGTAAGTACGAGGAAAAACTTCCATGAGGGCCTCCATAAGCAAATAGCTGTCACTTTCTGTGCCTTATGAATTATTGGAACCATTTTATCTTAAAAAAGCTTAAACTATTCTGTATGAATCGCAAAGCAGAATATTGTATCACTTTAATGCTTTGTAGTATAGAGAAAAGAATATGACATAGCATTGTAATAATAGTAATTCATAATAATGTAACAATTTAAAATGTTTAATGGCACATACTATAACTCTTTGATTTTAAAATACGTGTTTCAAGGTCCTAACGATCTCCCCTCATTTACGATTGCAACATGTGTCGTCATCACCATAAACAGGTAATTAACGGTATTTTGACAAATTAGAGTATTAGACATTTTTCACACCAGTCATTACTGTGGTTATGAGGCATGATTGGCATTGATATGTGTATTCTGAAGTAACAGACTATAAATATATCTACGAGGTGAGCTCCTTAATAAAAAAGTTCTAACTGACTTTTTTACGCTAATTTAAATTCAAGACATTGCTCAAATTCCTTTATATAAACATTTTGAATTCTATTTATAACTTACTTTCTTCAATTCTAATGATGTTTACCGATTAATAAACTCGCGTCCAAATTAATTTTAATATACTCAAAAAGAATCTTGTTCCATCAAATATCCAGTCGATGTAATTCATTATTGCAAGGAATATGTTAAAAAACAAGCCTACTTTTAATTATTGAATGAAAAGCGTTCTGATATGGAAATCAAAGCATTACGTCATCTGATGGTGAATCAAGCGCTTTACAGAAATTCGATATGAGAGCGATTTTTTTGCAATACAGCGTTTGGTTTCAGTGTGCAAGGATTCAAGACAGTTTATTAGTGCTTCGAAGTATCATTTAGAAAAATCTGTGAAGTAACGAATCATCGCCCGTTTAGAAGCAGGGTACACAATCATGGAAGCAGTGAGATGTGTGAATATTTCAAGGACAGAGAATATCTACGCTATGGAAACAGTTTCAGAACTCTGGAACTGGTGTAAAGAGGCGTGAACAAGGTCGTAAACGAATAGCAACTGCTTCTGAAGACCAGTACCTACCAATAAAACCGCCCGACGTAACATGAAGTATGCTGCTCGACAGTTATGTTCAGAGCTTGCTGCCTCTACTGAAACTGTTGTATCACAGCAAACTGCATGCAGGTTTAACGAAAAAGGCCTTTTTTCAGGAAAGCAAAATGTATGTGTTTCACTGTCTTCACAAGAAAACAGGGAGCGCTTTAATTGGTTCCAAGAGCATCAGAACTAGTGTCAAAACGATGGTCCCATGGTATCTTTATTGACGAATCGAGGTTTAGTTTAACATTTGATTGTAAACATATTTACACCTGGTGGGAGTGAAGAACGGGAAATCTTCTTTCAAACATTATAGAACACGTGGCTGTTTCGGTTATACAGATGTGATGGTATGGGGTGAAATAACGATCGATATATTTACCCCTCTACACGTTTTCAACAGCGGATATATGACCAGCCAGAGATATTGGGATGAAGTTTTAGAGCCTTATGTAAGACATTTTTGAGGTGCATATGGATCTATTTCTTTATTTATGGACGATAGTACTAGTCCGCATTAAGCAAACCTAGTTGACGAATTCCTTGAAAGTGAAGACATTGAACGAATACCGTGGCCAGAAAAATCTCCCGATCTTAACTCGATAGAGAACTTACGGCAATACCTTGTAAACGCAGCAGCACGGAGATATTCTACTTCTAGAGATGTAAATGCCCTGGAGACCAAATTGCTTGAGAAGTGAAACTTAATTTCTCAAGCTATGGTTATAAACATTGCTGTCAGCATGAAAACACGCTGTGATATGTGTATGCAAGTCAGGAGATCATATTCCATATTGAATTCACAAGCCTTAAATTTTTTTCTGAGTTATTCTTTTTGTCGTTAACTCTCCTTGTAATATAGTATTACTCTTTTTATTGTTTCTTGCTTCAGTTTTATGTCATATGTAGTGCTCTTATTTTTTCCTTTTTATTTATGTGTTATGATGTGTCACTCTACACAAATTCATAAAATTGTAATTTACATTTTTTGAGAAAGAAGTATGTAGATAATTTTGGCCGTGAGAGCTTATAGAACAACTTCATAAAAAGGAATGCTTATTCTTGTCAAAAATGTTTAAACTCATGTATTTAAGAATCTTTTTTGCTTATGTGTTAGCTGCATTCATATGTGAGACGGTTATTAACGGTATCTGTAATCATTTCCTTCCTTCTTTCTAGAACCAAGTGCCATCACCACTGCCTACCATCACCACGGAAGATGTGGACCACACCAGTTTGCCCAGTAACCACATTTCCTCTCCAGAGGAAGAATTTGCCACTCCTCCTCCAAGGGTTCGCATGCGGTCCTTGTCAGGGGGCGCCTACCGGTTGGCCCCCACCCTTCCCGCTGCAGTTCGGACCAGAAGACAGTCCGGTGATGACTATCTAAGCCCTTCCAGGCGCGCAGCACTATTCGAGCAGTTTCGGCCCAGGTCTAAATCGGACAGCAAAAGCAAGCGGCCAACTTTCCTCACCAGTCTCAAGAACTCCTTTTTCAGTGGTGGAGGACAGAAGAAGACGTCCCTAGACTCGGAATCCCCACTGGAACCCCTGCAGCCTGGCGGTGATTACCGGCAGAGGTCGCGATCTGGGTCCGAGACCCGAGGCGGCACCATGTCGAAAATGATTGACTTGTTCCGTAATCGCTCCAATTCCTTGTCCATAGATTCCAGGAGCAAGGTACCAGGGCATTTCCCTTTTTGCTGTCTTTTTTTTTTTTTTTAATATTTGTCATGTTGATTTTTATTTGATATCATGTCGTCTTGTGATTTTTTTAACTCCTTTTAAGATCTTTTTGTGAATGTATTGAAAATTCTTTTTCATAATATGGCATATCACCTAGCTGTATGGTTTCGAATGAGGGTGTTAGCAACAAGAATAGGTTTAATGCATAAAATTGGCAACGCACATTTTGAAGGTCTGACAGTGCTTAAATCTTCGGTTGTTGATAAAAAAATGATATTCAGAATCATATACAGTAGAACGAAAGAAGGAGCATATTTGAGAAAATTCTGCGATAATGATTAGAAATGATAAATCAATGCATTCCATTGTTGACGTAAATCTGAACGAGAAGCAACTGAAGTTTTAAAGCGTTTAATAACTTGTGGCAAATTACAGCTAGAATTTGGGTAATTAAGTAAAGCAGAGAGATTTGTATGTATGGGAAAAGCTTTCCAGGAAATAACAGTTTGCCAAATGAATAAATGTTTCTCAATAATTTTGGTAGCAGAGAACAAGTAAGTTTGATTTTCTTATCAATAAACCAAAGTTTGATTTTTTTTTAGCCGAGCATGCTTTCTTTTCGTGTTTATGGCTTCTCATGTGATCGCTGTATTTGATTTCCTTAGTAACAGTCGAAGAAGAAGATACTAAGTTATCCTCTAACATACTTATATGAAGCCATTTTTTATTATATTTCTCATCCCTCTTGAAATAAAGCATCATTTGACATGTTTAATTTTAGCAAAATAATGTGCAATCTGCAAATTATTAGAAAGAAAAAGAAGGGAATTAATACTGTAGTGAATAAAAATGTGAGGATTGAATGCAAAATAGAGACGACACACACCATCTGTCCAAAAAATTCCGAGACTGTATTATTAAAAAATTGGAAAAAACCTAAGATGAAGATTTTAATTCTTCAAGGCGTTGTATATAATCCCCCCCCACACACACACATACTTGAGTATAACGCATAGAAATTTTATACAACTATATAAAACTATGAGAAGTCTATGTTTGAGATGTTATTCAACTTTTTGATTGGTATTGTAATTGAAAACTAGAATTAAAACCCTACTAAACAGATAGCGAGTTGTCACTACCTCTTAAACAATTCAAGGATACAGAAGGTGGTTTAAATAACTCTTTGTGTTATTATTATTTTAGTCACCGTTTGAACATAAAGGCAGAACTTGTGCTATAGACGAATTTTCGAACTTAACAGATAATTAAATTCAAACTTTGATAACGTAGTAAGACTGCACATTAAATAGAATAAGCTGGGTCAGATATTTTACTTGTACATACATAAAACATCGGCAAGCGAGAATGTTAAAGCTGAAATATCACTTTTAAGCAGAGCTGGCGAAAATACTAACAGCAAACGCGATTGCCAGAATCTCTCTAAAACTAAAGATTCAAAATCTTCAGCTTTAAAAACACAAAAACCTAATTTGCATTCTGATTAGGAATATGGAAAGGAGAAGTTATAGTAAAGACGCTGTAAGATATTTTCTCCCTCCTTCCAGCATGCCTTCGTGGTGTAACGGTAGCAAACTTATCAGGTTCAGTGTTCCTCCTTACTTGCTTGGGGAACATTCAATGACCTGACTCGGAACAGGGAGCTTACTAAAGCTGTGTTCAATAAATGTGGGAAGTAGACAAGATACACAGGAAGGGTATACGAAACCCTTTATTTTTCTCTCTTTACAATGATTTCCGGACTTCGGAATACAGAGACCCAACCACTGTGGTCTGAACGTAAGAATATAAAAATATTAACTAAATTCTAACTAAACTAACTTTGGATTAATAAACAAGTGTCTACTCGAAGATTGGACGTATATTAACAGAAAGGCCGTATGTAGTACAGATAACTGTTAACACTACGATACGTTTAAAATTATCAAGAGGATTAAACCTCTGGCCTTGAAGGCAACCAGCAACCGAGTAAAACTGCTAAGGCAAGCGGCCTGCTTCTACTAACTCCTTCCTCTCCCTCTCGCTTGCCAAAAAGCCACAACTTAAGTACTTGGCGTTCGCCAAGACAAATTTGCATAAATAAGTTAACGCTTTAATTCTGGCCGGAAAGTAGAAAATAAGAAGTGATAGTAAAGATTTAAAATAAAATAAATGTTAGTAAAACTTAAGATCCTTACATACTTCCCGCCAGAGTTAATTAGTTTGAAACTGAGGTCTAAAACGACCTTGTTGAAAACTTTTAGCTCTAGAATCTAACGCGAGGCCAATCTTTTACAAACATTTCTCACTAGAAACTAGAAATTTAAAAAAAAAAAAAAATTCGTTTTTACATTATCAATTCCATTGACAATTACTTTTCATCTGTACTGCATCTAAACAGGAGTTTCTAGTTGAAATCTGGTGGAAAACTAGTTTAATGAAATGTTACACAATTAAATGGCAAGTACATGAATATTTATATTTCTCTTAACATTCTTATTTCATTCATGACTTTATTTAATTATCTCTCTCCGTGCTCTCTGACATGTGTTGTAAAAGAAAACACCAAACACGAATGTGTTTATGTACAAGTGTTCAACACTACCGCCTGCAATCAAAACACTAACACGTGTTAAAATTCAACATAACAAGACCTCATAACACACCTTATTCAATCTCTAAACCCTGAGGTACTATTCTGAAAGTGGCTAACTCTGAAGTGTAGCGTCAGAGAGCCTAACTACATTCATTCAACCTTTAACACATATTCACATGATTTTCTCTTTTTACAGTCACACGAATAAGTTAAAAAGTTTTTGGCATTACTTTCACTTTTAACCATATCACAGTATTTCTTAACATTTAAAATAACAGTTCACATTGTATATAAGAACATATTAACATGCCGTTAATTTTACGCATTTGAAAACATACATTAGTAGTACATTGTTAACTTCTATTCTTTTCAAAGCAAGTGCCAATTCTTCTACATTGAAATACTACATTTCAAAAAGTCTTTCAGACTAAAACTTTCTTTCTTGCCAGAATGTTTTAAATAAAATTTTATACAATAACTTTTACAATATTCAAGTCTTTACACAATTCCTATTATACATCAACTTTAGTTTTACTCGCGAGTAATTGAAAAACATAATACCAAAATCGGTAACAACTCATTTCTCGCCTTTTTTGGCGATAAAGGTAGACCTCACATGAGGTAAAACTTCTTGAAATCTGCCACTTGCAGTAAGAATGAAAGATTAACTTAAGTTTGCAAAGTAACATAAAATTTTACTTATCTTTGTGATATTCGGACATTCTTTTTTTCTGCCCAGTCCTGGAAGGTAGCAAAGATTAGCGTTTGGTTTATCCTCCTTCTTGTGCGGGCTCGCCCTTCAGTTCCTTCCTCTAGGAGCTTTCTTTTCCCTCCAGTTCGGTCACCCTTGAAAGACCTTCTTTTCGCCTCTGCCTGTGGTCTTGGCCGTTTGATGGCAGCTGGTCTTGGCGGAACCGGGAACTTCTCTCGTCGTTCCTGCTTGGACCTCGTTGCTGGCCGTTCAAATTTTCCTTGTACTTTTCCTCCGCCGCTGATGGCCCTTCCGCAGTTCGGCGACATTTGCTGCGGAGAGTCCTGTCGGATGAGTAGATCTTCCGTTTTAGAGCCGGGTTATAGTTGCCGTCATTTCTCCTGGCTCTCTTTGCATACGTCGTCCTTCTCCCTTCTTCATTCTGGGGGTGTTCGTGAACTCTCTTTTCTGGACGGTGGAACGGCTTCTTTTTCTTGTTACCTTCAATTTTCCGCGGGGAAACTTTCTTTTCACTTGCTCCTGCCTCTAATGGCTTGCCCTTGTACTTGTCGTTGTTCCACCTCTGGAGCTTGTGCCTGCGGTGTCTGCCGTGCCGGATCCTGCAAAAGATCTGAAAATATTTGCATTTTATTACGATCATAGTAGGGTTTTATTTGATCAATGTTTGCGGAAGCAGGTTTCACCATTTCCTGGCTTTTAACACTACTACAGCGTGAGTTATTTTTTCTATAACATATGGTCCTTCAAATCGTGGAAAAAATTTGGCAGTTTTATCTTCTGGTGCTGAAGAAAGTGAATGCTTAATTTTTAAACTTCATCCCCTACTTTATAAGTTACTCCCCGTCGTTTCAAATCATAATAAAGATTTTGTTTTCTCTGTGCTACTTCAGTATTCTTTTTTGCTTCTTTAATTAGTTTTTCTATATCACCCATTTTAAATTCTGGGGCTCTTTGTTGCACATAAAATAATTTATCTAACGGCGTTATAATCTTTCTGCCTAAAAATAACTCAGCAGGAGTTTTGCCCGTTGTATCATGTTTTGCGGTCCTAAGGGCGAAAGCAAATTCATTGACATAGTTATCCCAGCTTTTATGAAAATTTTTAACATAACTACGGATAATTTTCACTATATTTCTATTGACCCGTTCCGCTATATTTGATTGCGGCCGATACGGGACCATTTTTAAATGACGTATGCCCAGTTTTTGGCACATGATATTACTTACAAATTGAGGACCATTATCCGATATAACTTTTAGGGGCGCCCCGTATTTTAAAATATATTTATTTAAAATAGAATCAGTAACTAATTTCGCGGAGGCTCGTTTTAAGGGAACAATTTCGGTCCACTTTACTGATTTAAAATTGATTTCGAAACTTTAATAATTTAAACTTAACTGCTTGACAGGGCACTGGATACCTTGTAACTTTTAGTTTAAGCTGTAGCTTGATGGAGGAACTAGGGTATAAATAAATAATAGACCATCTATTAGTTCGTAATGGGCCGCCCTATTTCTTATCGCCACAATATCTTGGTGGCTAAAATTTTCAGGATCCTTTAAATACTCATAAATGCTTCCAAACTCAGGATCCTTACCCAGTTCGGTTATTACAGTTTCTCGGGAATTTATTGTACATGCTGTGAGCATTGCCACCTTTACGGTATTACCTTCTTCATCTATTTT